CCAGCATCAGCAGTAGTATCCTGTAGCCAAGAGTGATTAGTCTAAAAAGGCAGGCTACGTGAACAGTAGCGAGAAGAGAGAAGAGAGGTCGCAGCATGCAGCATGCAGAGATAAAGCTGGCAGGTCTGCGCATGGCTGTTGGTCTAGGCTGTTCACAGTAAGTTTGAAGTGACAACACATAGAGTGCATGCTCACATGCTGCACATGCATGCAGATTTTTATTTTAACATTTTAGCAGATTATGGTACCGAGTGAGAGCTCGAGTCAGATTTTCTGAGAGAAAAAAAAGAGACGCGAGGAGAGAGGAACGCTCCATGCATGTATGACAAACTAGGCGTGAAGGGAGACAGATGTGCATGCAATAGACTAGCCTTTGCAGACCTACATAAATTACTGTTCACCTAGGGGATCAGCCCATTTATTTTATATAACGTCTGGCCTGGGTGGGTGATGTACTGTCCCTCCTGTGTTAATTACTGGCAATGACTACTCACATAGCACATATCTCTATGCAGAGTGTTGCAGAATGAACGGATAAGATAGCAGGTCATGTGGAGCTCAAGCGACAAAAAACTGCACTCTTTACAAATATATGTTGGTATTATGATCCATTGCAAATATAAGGAGTGGATACATTGAAACTGGAATAAGCATCTTTTTGCTCTGATGGATCAGTTTCTCATTGTTAATATTTATATATTTTCTTCTGAGCACCTTTTTCTTCATCATATATATATGTGGGAAAAAGGAAAACTTCTATGATAGACAGTAGTAGTTTCAGACTGTCTACGATCACAGTAATCCAGATTCTGAAGCTTGTATTGTCCTTAATGAGCTAGTAATAAAAAGATAACAACCTTCCGAGAGGTGCTGCCAAACCTGGGATGTAGATAATCAAACAAATGCAGGGCTGTAGACAATTATTTGCTGGTTTGAGCCTCAATTACATCCTGATGACAGTATTGCACATTTAGTTTTACATTCTGAACATTAGCAACATTACTAAATCGCATGCTCTGTTCATGTTAAGTTGTTGATTGCAAACGTCACAAGGCACGAGAACGCACATGTTTTTATTCACGGAGTGTTCATCAATATCTTTTATACATCAGTAAACTCAGCACTCTACAGGAGAATTAAATTCAGAAGGAAAAAAAACATCAACAAAACATCAGCTATACCCAATTTCTTTTTTGAGTTTCTGATTGTGTCGTCTTGCTGGGTGAAACATGCCAACCAAGGATCTGCGGCTGTCCAATTACCCTATGCCGGCAAGCATACATGATTTGGTTTACTATACAAAATATGGAATGCCTGTCCAGATTAAAAATATCATTGCTGGATAATGATCCGAGTTGATTCTCGGTTGAAACTAATTTGAAGCTTTGCATTTTTCTTATAGCTGGCTGATATACCTTTTCTTTTTATAAAGTATATATCTTTTACATTCTGCAATGAGGAAAAACTATCATGCCTATAGTGCGAAAATGTCTGTCCAAAGATGCTCTATTTGCTAAGTTACATGAGCTTATTCACAGTTCTTATCTGAAAAAGATAAGCGAACTGGCAGGTGGATCAATAGCTTTTTTCTATGCTCGAATAACCCTCTTGGGTTGGTATGTGTGGCTTCCTTTCTATTCCATAGAGAAGGGGTCAGATGTCAGATTTGTGTAACTACTAGGATAGAAAAGTTCATGCTTATACTGATGCTTGAAAATTCAATACTTATTTGTGATGCAGGTTCCTACCACAGGTCGATGGAAATGTTCAAAAAAGGATGGTGGAAGTTATTCCTAGTTCAGTATGGATATAGTTCATATAATTGTGATATTTTTACTTTTTTAGTGGAACAAAGTATTGTTACTTGCTGAACCTGTAACCATAATTAACATTTTCTCTTTTGAGACATAGTTAGCAAACTATATTTATCATTGGTGTTGCACTATTTGTCCGACTTTATATGTAAGGTTATATGCATGTATGGTTGCAAGTTGAATATTTGTTCTTTTGCGAACTGTGTATTTAGTATTTTTTTCATTCAAAATTCTGTATTAAATTTTAGTCCAAATTTCCTGAACTTTTTTAGAAAAGAGGGACGAACATTATTCTGGTATTTATATGACAATATTGTGAGAGAAAAATGAAGTTATTTGTGGTGATTTTTTATTGTAATGATATTTTCTTTTACACATCCTGTCCTATTGGATGGGCATGTCCCGTTTCTGTTATTGCCTGCGGGGATTTCTCTTCCCTCCCCCTTGTTGTCCAAATGGCAAAGGGTATTTTCACATAGTGGAAGGGGATCCCGTCTGGGAAGGGAAATCCCACTTCGAGGGTTTACTACCCATGATTTTTTATCCCCAACAACCAAACTAGCCATTATTGTCGGTGTCTCCCCACCTCCAGCGCATCCTGCGGCAACACCATCTACATCTGCCATACCCTGCATCAGCCTGCCAGTGGTTGGCACCACGAGAGGGAGATAGGCGGTTATCCTCCTTTGCTCATTGGTGTCGCCTCGCAGTCGGCTTCCCCTGCAAGCATGCCCCACCCCCTTGGTGTCCCACCCTGCCCCGTGTCATGCTACTGGTCCCGCCACTCGGGTGAAGGGCTGCCTCGGGTTCCTCCTCCTCTAGTCACCGCTCGATTTAGGAGCCTTAGAAGTATGCTACTCTTAGAGAGGAATGTGCGGAGGTGGCGCATCTAGAACCGATGATTTTCTATTGTCCACGTAGTCTTGCAATGTAAGAGTGTAGTGTCAAAAAGCGTCTTACATTATGGGACGGAGGGAGTACATCTACATAATGTCGTGATAATGTGTATTGCCTTTTGCCTTTGCCGCGTATTTTCGGTACTCTGCGTACAAGGTATTTCCTGTAGTGTAAAAAAACATCGCTTAATTGACGTCGTGAGCCTATTTTTGATCTGTAACGAAATTTCTAGATCCATCACAGATTGATGCCAGTCTTCAACTGTCTCAAGTTACCAGAAATCCATCGTCGATTAACCACATTCTTGTAGTGTTATGTAAGTCATATCTTACGCGGGGTTCATATGTCGGCCAGAGGCATGTGAATGGTTCAGGCATGCACCGACTCTTTTCAAATGATAGTTCACACTATCAATGGCGAGTACTTCTGCCCATCTTTGTCACATGCATTCCTGTATTGTACCATAGTATTGGGAACCAAAGTTTAGAGCTTCATATATTTAGGAGCGGGTGAGCAATCTTCGACCAAGGACCGGGTCTCTTAACAGATTTTACTATCAAAGCCATTAATATAATTTAGAAAGGAGAATCACTGAATCAATCTAGGGAGTAATACAATAGCAAACACGATGCACACATCCTACGGGAAGCTTATGGTTGTGTGATTCGATGCATAGGTCAGTGATTATCTAACAATAATTGTAAGTGTGGGAGCGTATGCCTTAAGTTGGCCGCTTTGCCTATGTAGAAATGATATGGTTTTTGATGACCAAAATGCTTCTCCTTTGTTGGTTATTTTCCGGTGTACACAGTTGCTTCATACGTGGTCAACGCTACAACGAGCGGAGTACCAACCGTTGTTCAATGCGGGGTGTAAGCGATTAGAACAGGTGGCTATGGAGGTTTTTCTAACATGGGTGATAGCATAACCTCCGCATACATCCACCACCAGCTTTGACATAGGCATATTGTCGGGGTCTATAGGATTCTATTGTTGCCGATTTATCAGTTTAGTTTTATTTATTATTGACAGACTTTTGAGGTTTGGTTGTGTGCATCTTAGTTATGCAAAGGTCAGTTGTTACTCGTAATGCTTTTTATATCCGCTTGATGCTACATTTTGAGATAATAAAAACGTCCTTTATAAAAAACAATAATTGTAAGGAAAGTCAGGCGTATCATGGGGCATCTATTGTCAAGTGCCTTTTTTGGGTGCCACGGCCTCAATAGCTTCTCCGAGAGGCCACGCCGCTTCAATGAAGTACTCCCCATGCTTCACCTTCTCCACGAGTGTAATATTCTTGGTGGGCTCCAAACCTGCAAATAAATCTTTAAACACTTTTTCTTCTAATATACTCATGTTTGTAGGTAGTAGTGGTAGAGAAACTCACCGAACCCATCGACGAGCAAGGAGTATTGATAGACGAGGTCCATGCAAACGTAGGGTACGTCACGGACCTTGGGGTACTTAACCTTCACTTCTTTCAAGCTCATTCTACATAACTTCTGGGCAACGGCTCTGAAAGCCGCTGGGGTGGATGTCCCGCTTGGAGCATCGCTGTCGATGAGGCCAACCTGTCAAGGACCGATGGAGATCGACATAGACAAGTTCAGATCTTGCAGCTGGAGTGCATATATGATATATCCAAATTAATTTTCCTAGCTAGCTAATTCAAGGGTCTTCAAGTAATTGAACCCTACATTATTTCAAATAAATTGAATTCTAGTTTTGTCCTAAGTCAATTTATTTAAGTTTGAGCGAGTTTATACAAAAATATGCAACTATCTACGACATTGAATATATATTGTATGAAAATGTATTTTGTGATAATTCTAACAAAAATAAGTGTTGATATATTCATCTATAGATGGAAGAAAAACAATATTTCAGATAATTTAGAATGGAGGGAGTACCTGCGAGGCCATGTAGTAGAAGCTAGACGCGGCGTAGAGGTTGGCCTGGCCGGGGCCGCCCCCGCCGTTCCACACGCCGTCGAAGGTGCACTTCTTGGCTGGGCAGGGCGAGTCAAGTTTGAGTGCCCTCACTACATCACGTCTGCACTTCCCGTATTGTGCACCTCCCGTTGACGCGGTAGCATTGTACTCCTCACCATTGTAGCTGTATTTTCCTTGGAGAACGAATGAAATGACAAATAATATAGTACATCAATCAGTTATTGGGTTACTGGTTATGTGACATATATGGATGAATAGTAAGGCTACTTATACTGATCTATGACTATCGATCATACGTAGGCCACTTACCACTGAAGCCACGAAGCATGCAGTAGCTAAATGGTCCTTCCTTAGCCTTGAAGATCTCTACACGAGAAGCTAAGGCGCCGTAGCGTAAGTAGCTGCAAGCACAGAAAAAAGGCCTCCCCTGATCATTTTATAATTGATATACAATACAAAGTTGCTCATCATATGGCTTTAGAAATCAAAAAGCAATATGCCCCTCTTCTCATGAAATGGTTAGATGCCTTGTATTACTTTATCTTTCTTTTCACGTACCTAACTCTTGTACATGTTCTTCCCTTTTGCTTTTAGATAAATAAAATAAAATAAAATGCAGTGGGGCTTTGTCCTACTGGAAAAGGCCCAAAAAAGTTTGTTACAAAGTTCATTCAGTACGACAAAGGTTTCATTTGGGATTTACACCAACACCCCTTTTATTTTGTTTTGTTAAAGTACATGGATAATATTGAGTAGTTTTCTGGTAAGATAGACTTTCAATAATTAACCACAAAAGTAAGACAGCACATGCAGGGTCTTGCCATATTGAACACTATGTGATACCTTGGGAGAATGTTTTGAAATATATTTCAAAAAAAACTGAACATACAAAATGATTCATTGTGTTTAATTATTATTGTATAGTTGTAGATATTTAATAAAATATAAATAACGTAATAAACGAAAATTATCGTGCATGTTGGCATGTTCAGGTATCAATTTTCATGAGAGAAATATATTAGTGGAAACTAGCTATTTAGCTATAGAAGTACTACATATAAACCAAAACACATTCATGCATGAGAGGGTCATCAAACCTGTGAACATAAACGTTGTAATCTCTTCCCTTGAGATACTCTTTTGTAACATAAGGATCCTTGCCGTGAGGCACTCGTGGTGCGGCAGCAGCAGCGGCTGGAGAAATGGCATATGCCATTTGCACAGACCCACCACCAAGATCAATCACACCTACCGTTTTCGAGTAGTCTCCTCCCAACTTATCCAGCAGGTAATTCAGAGCAACCTACAAGCACCTCATGCCATGCAAAAAGAGGTTAGACATAATGAAATGTTGGTGTTTGTATCTGATAAGAATTCATGCTACATGCATAAATTCATGGGGTGGTCGGTCGTGTGAATTATACCCATAGGTAGGATCCTTCCTGAGATCCCTCGAGAACATTGATCCACTTGGGGTTGTACTGAAACTTGGTGTTAGTGTGGACAGCGCCCCTGACCTGGTCGTATCAATTCGAGAATCAATACTTAACTCGTGGTTACTATATATCCATGCGTCCTAGCTACATGCATGAGATAAAATATAAATCACAAGATCATTGAGGTAATTACCGCGTCAAGTATCTGCTTTGCTTGCTTATCTCCGATGAGCCTGAGTCCGGCCGTCGCCTGCACATTTAATTCAAGTCCTGAGCGATATATCTTGACGTGAAGTAATCTTTCAATCAGCGACGGTAAAAATCTGAGAATTCTACATTTCCACGAAACTAGAGATGATGAGATCCACATGAACTCAAGAATAAATTCTGAATATTTACCAGCCACCATAGAAATAGCAAAACCAGTACTAATTTTTGCATACGTACCCCAAGTTTGACGGGAGTCGTTTTCATAAGCCTCTGAGGCACGACGCTGTTGGCCTTTTGAAGCAGTGGTTGTATGGACTTGGTAGCCTCCTTGGGCCGTCCAGCGTACGAACTCAGACCAGGATTCACCTGCAACAGAAAAACAAAAAGACTAGCTGTGAAATGAAATGACGAAGATCAACTGCGTCACCCTTAATTACCACGCATGGGTTGTTCTTTTGATGGAGCATTTGCATAGAGCTATAGCCTATAGGCAACCAGGTACCTTGGCGAAGACCTCGATGTCATCGCCGATCTTGACGAGATCCATCTGCTTGTCAAACCGGAAGACGTGCATACGTGTCCCGGTGCTGCCGGCGTCCAAGATCACGGCGTACTTCCCCGCCGGCGGCCCCCTGGCGGCGCGCGCCTGGGCTGTCTCTGCCGACGCTGCGAGGAGGAGGAGAAGCGCCATCATGCCCACCAGGTGAGCCATTGCTAATTACTAAGAGTATGCAGTGCGTGCTGCCGGATGCCGAGCGAGTGCTGGAGTCGACGAGTCCACACGCTAGGTTTTATATAGAGAGTATAGGAGCAACGGCGTCAATATTAATTCCACGCATTCCACTGTCGACGAGGCTTTTGTGCAGACAGTGACCACATGCATGATCCGATGGGCATCCTCCACTGCATTCCCACACAAGGTACAGTAGGTAGGTAGCGTCGTGTTCAAGCGTGCGTTTTCGTGTTCCATGCCACGAACTTTCGGGTGGGATTTTTGATTTCCGAATCATATTCCCGATACTGCGGTCTCCCTCCCCTCTGCTAGTACTGCTCTCTGCGCTGGAGCTGGGCTGCAAAGCTCCTACGCACCCCTTGGCAGAAAAATTCCAACACTTTTCATGGTGCCACGCAATAAAATTGTCGACGACTCTTTATATAGCAGATATTCCAGTGCTGCAAATTGCCTCTGCCATCGTTTCAGCGTCTACAATAGCTACACTATTTTTGGGCACCAAAACGTCTGTGGAATAAAATTTTGGTCATCAAAAAGTGTTTCTTTTTTTGGCACGACAAAGTGGCGTCTCCAAAAGTTGCCCTAAAATAGGGCACCCAAAACAGCAAAACCACATTTTTTTCTGACGAACATTCATACTACTTCGATGCAAAGTTCCACACATTCAAAGTTCCCAGTCCATTTCGTCGGACACCTCACTCCCGTCGTCGGAATCAAGGTTAACCACACCCGGAGGGCATGCATCCTTCTCCGCCTTGACCCGTGAAGACCCTTCCTTGCCATCGTTCTTGCGCTTCAACCTGTTGAGATCCCTCTTCTAATAGAACTCCATCTCATAACTCCTCCAGGTGTTGTCCCATTCCTCGACAACAATGCGGGTCACCGACTTGGTCAGGATGGACTCAATGGTCACTAGTGGCCCGACGAACTCTACCGTCTGCCGAGACTCGATCTCTCCAAAGTTGAGCCTCTGACGCGACAAGCCAAGCCTTCACACTGTGACATTCCTCCTCAACCTACTGAACCTATTGAAAATGAAACTCCTTTTGAAATTCCTTCGGGTATGATGGAAAAACTGCTAGCTAACACTTTTATAGGAGATGGAACAAAGCATCCTGATGAACATCTACTCTATGTGGATGAAGTTTGTGGACTATTTAAGCTTGCAAGTATACCCGATGATGTTGTTAAAAAGAAGGTCTTCCCTTTATCTTTGAAGGGAGACGCATTGAAATGGTACAGGCTATGTGATGATACGAGATCATGGAACTATAAAAGATTGAAATTGGAATTTCATCAAAAGTATTACCCTATGCATCTTGTTCACCGTGATCGCAATTATATATATAATTTTTGGCCTCACGAAGGAGAAAGCATCGCTCAAGCTTGGGGGAGGCTTAAATCAATGTTATATTCATGCCCCAATCATGAGCTCCCAAGAGAAATAATTATTCAGAGTTTTTATGCTCGGCTTTCTGATAACAATCGCACCATGCTCGATACTTCTTATGCTGGCTCTTTTATGATGAAGACTATTGAATTCAGATGGAATTTATTGGATAGAATTAAGCGTAACTCAGAAGATTGGGACCTTGACGAAGGTAAGGAGTCAGGTATGACACCTAAGTTTGATTGTGTTAAATCTTTTATGGAAACCGATATTTTCCGTAAGTTTAGCACTAAATATGGACTTGACTCTGAGATAGTAGCTTCTTTCTGTGAATCTTTTGCTACCTATGTTGATCTCCCCAAGGAGAAGTGGTTTAAATATCATCCTCCCATAGAAATAAAAGTAGCTGCACCTATTAAAGTCGAAGAAAAGACTGTCACTTATAATGATCCTAATGTTCCCACTTCTTATGTTGAGAAACCATCTTTCCCTGTTAGAATAAAGGATCATGCTAAAGCTTCAACTGTGGTTCATAAGAGCAATATTAGAATTTATACACCTCCTGAGCAAATCAAAGTAGAACCTAATATTGCTATTGTTAAAGATCTCTTGTCTGATAATATTGATGGGCATATTATTCAATTCTGTGGTGAAACTGCTAGAATTGCTAAACCTTGTGCTAGAGATAAACATAGACCTGTGGTAGGTGTGCCTGTTATTTCTGTTAAAATAGGAGATCATTGTTATCATGGCTTATGTGATATGAGTGCTAGTGCTAGTGTAATACCCATTGACTTATACAAAGAAATTATGCATGATATTGCACCTGCTGAGTTAGAAGATATTGATGTTACAATTAAACTTGCCAATAGAGATACTATCTGCAATGGGAATTGTTAGAGATGTTGAAGTCTTGTGTGGAAAAACCAAATATCCCGCTGATTTTCTTGTTCTTGGTTCTACACAAGATAGCTTTTGTCCCATTATATTTGGTAGACCCTTCTTGAATACTGTCAATGCTAAGATAGACAGCGAAAAGAATTTTGTTACTATTTTTCATGAGTTTAATTTGTCTAAATTTAGTAAACAACATCGTGGGGAAGAATTGCCTTGTAAGGATGAAATTATTGGTCTTGCTTCTATTCCCGTACCTCCTAGTGATCCTTTAGAACAATATTTGCTAGACCATGAAAATGATATGTTCATGAATGAAAGAAAGGAAATAGATGAAGTATTCTTTAAACAGGAACCTATTCCGCAACACAATTTGCCTGTTGAAATCCTAGGGGATCCTCCTCCACCCATGGGTGATCCCGTGTTTGAGATTAAACCGTTGCCTGATAATCTTAAATATGCTTATCTTGATGAAAAGAAAATATATCCTGTTATTATTAGTGCTAACCTTTTAGAGCATGAAGAAGAAAGATTATTGAAAACTCTGAAGAAGCACCGTGCCGCTATGGGATATACTCTTGATGATCTTAAGGGCATTAGTCCCACTCTATGTCAACATAAAATAAATTTGGAAGCTGATGCCAAACCAGTTCGTGATCCTCAACGACGTTTGAATCCTAAAATGAAAGAAGTGGTAAGAAAAGAAATACTCAAGCTTCTGAAGGCAGGTATAATTTATCCCGTTGCTGATAGTCAGTGGGTAAGTCATGTCCATTGTGTCCCTAAGAAGGGAGGTATTACTGTTGTCCCTAATGATAAAGATGAATTGATCCCGCAAAGAATTATCACAGGTTATAGGATGGTAATTGATTTCCACAAATTAAATAAAGCTACTAAGAAAGATCATTACCCCTTACCTTTTATTGATCAAATGCTAGAAAGATTATGCAAACATACACATTATTGCTTTCTAGATGGTTATTCTGGTTTCTCTCAAATACCTGTGTCGGCTACAAATCAATCAAAGACTACTTTTACATGCCCTTTTGGTACTTTTGCTTATAACATATGCCTTTTGGTTTATGTAATGCACCTGCTACCTTTCAAAGATGCATGATGGCTATATTCTCTGACTTTTGTGAAAAGATTTGTGAGGTTTTCATGGACGACTTTTCCGTCTATGGATCCTCTTTTGATGATTGCTTGAGCAATCTTGATCGAGTTTTGCAGAGATGTGAAGAAACTAATCTTGTCTTGAATTGGGAAAAGTGCCACTTTATGGTTAATGAAGGTATTGTCTTGGGGCATAAAGTTTCTGAAAGAGGTATTGAAGTTGATAAAGCCAAGGTTGATGCTATTGAAAAGATGCCATGTCCCAAGGACATCAAAGGTATAAGAAGTTTCCTTGGTCACGCCGTATTTTATAGGAGGTTCATTAAGGACTTCTAAAAAATTTCCCGGCCTCTGACTAATTTATTAAAAAAAGATGTATCGTTTGTTTTTGATGATGATTGTGTAGAAGCATTTGAAATACTTAAGAAAGCATTAGTCTCCGCACCTATTGTTCAGCCACCTGATTGGAATTTACCCTTTGAAATTATGTGTGATGCTAGTGATTATGCTGTAGGTGTTGTTCTAGGGCAAAGAGTTGATAAGAAATTAAATGTTATCCATTATGCTAGTAAGACTCTAGACAATGCTCAAAGAAATTATGCTACTACCGAAAAAGAACTTTTAGCAGTTGTATTTGCTTGTGATAAATTCAGACCCTATATTGTAGATTCTAAAGTAACTATTCACACTGATCATGCTGCTATTAAATATCATGAAAAAGAAAGATGCAAAACCTAGACTTATTAGACGGGTTCTCTTGCTGCAAGAATTTGATTTGCATATTGTTGATAGAAAAGGAGCTGAGAACCCCGTTATAGATAGCTTATCTAGGTTAGAGAATGTTCTTGATGACCCACTACCTATTGATGATAGCTTTCCTGATGAGCAATTAAATGTCATAAGCATTTCTCGTAGCACTCCATGATATGCTGATTATGCTAATTATATTGTCGCTAAATTTATACCACCTAGCTTCACATACCAACAAAAGAAAAAGTTTTTCTATGATTTGCGACATTACTTTTGAGATGACCCACATCTTTATAAAGAAGGAGTAGATGCTGTTATTAGACGTTGTGTACTTGAGCATGAACAGGAATAGATCCTACGCAAGTGTCACTCCGAAGCTTATGGAGGACACCACGCTGGAGATAGAACAACACATAAGGTATTGCAATCCGGTTTTTATTGGCCCACTCTCTTCAAGGATGCCCGTAAGTTTGTTTTGTCTTGCGATGAATGTCAAAGAATTGGTAATATTAGTAGACGTCAAGAAATGCCTATGAATTATTCACTTGTTATTGAACCATTTGATGTATGGGGCTTTGATTATATGGGACCTTTTCCTGCCTCTAATGGATATACACATATTTTAGTTGCTGTTGATTATGTTACTAAGTGGGTAGAAGCTATTCCAACTAGTAGTGCTGATCATAACACTTCTATTAAAATGCTTAAGGAAGTTATTTTTCCGAGGTTTGGAGTCCCTAGATATTTAATGACTGATGGTGGTTCACACTTTATTCATGGTGCTTTCCGTAAAATGCTTGCTAAATATGACGTTAATCATAGAATTGCATCT